GCTGGCTTGTCTCCCACTTCCTTTCATTTGCCTCCCAATTCTTTTCATTTGTCTCCCAGGCCACTTCCTTTCATTTGTCTCCCACTTCTTTTCATTGTCTCCCAGGCTGGGTGCTTGTGGTCGGGTTCCGGGCCGGCTTGTCTCCCACTTCCTTTCATTTGTCTCTCACTTCTTTTCATTTGTCTCCCAGGCTGGGTGCTTGTGGTTGGGTTTCCGGCCAGCTTGTCTCCCACTTCCTTTCATTTGTCTCCCACTTCTTTTCTGCTTGTGGTCGGGTTCCGGGCCGGCTTGTCTCCCACTTCTTCTTATTTGTCTCCCACTTCTTGTCATTTGTCACCAACTTCTTTTCATTTGTCTCCCAGGCTGGGTGCTTGTGGTCGGGTTCCCGCCCTACACTTGCTTTCATTTGTCTCCCGGTTCTTTTCATTTATCTCCCAGAAATGCTTCATTTGTCTCCCGGGTCCGTCACTGCTGGTGCCATGTAGCATTTCTATTCATTTGTCTTTGTCACTGCTAATTTCCGCCCTTTTCCGCTGGCCACGCAGCATTTCTATTCATTTGTCCCCCAGGCTTGTCACTGGTGGTGTCCGCCCTTTTCCGCTGTTTCTATTCATTTGTCTCCCAGGTTTGTCACTGTTGGTGTCCGCCCTTTTCCGTTGGCCATGTAGCATTTCTATTCATTTGTCTCCCAGGTCTGTCACTGCCAGTGTTTTGTCTCCCAGGTCTGTCACTGCTGGTGTCCGCACTTTTCGTCGGCCATGCAGCATTTCTATTCATTAGTCTCCCAGGTCTGTCACTGTTGGCATCCGCCCTTTTCCGCTGGGCACGCAGCATTTCTATTAATTTGTTTCCCGGGTCTGTCACTGGTGCTGCCGCCCTTTTCCGCTGGCCATGTAGCATTTCTATTCATTTGTCTCCCATGTGATTTCTTTCTTTTTGTCTTTCAGGTTTGGTGCCTGCACTGCTGTTTTCTGCCCTGTCCGCTGGAACAGGTTCGCCTGTGAAAGGTTCTTGCTCCTTTACAAGGGGTGCGTGACTGTCTCCGGGATTGCATTCCTGCCGCAGTGTGTAACTCTCTCAGCTTTGTTTTCCTTCTCGGGCAACCGTTGGATGAATGACCGGATTGGATTTCGGCGGTGTGGCAGCGATCTCTCCATTCAGTTGGGGCGGAGGGCATATGTCAGGCGCCAAAAATCAATTTCATGTCACATCCTTCGCTCCTCATGCTTTTGTTTCTTGTCCTCACGTGGTCAGCTCCCCGCTGACTGAGCAGCATGACCAGCATCATGTTCGCGCTTGAAGAATAATTCCCCAAAAGGTTTACTGTTAGGGCTTCTCACTTCTTTCTTAAGATGTGTCCCCCCCGCTCTTTACTGCTGTGTCCTTGCAATCCTTTACATTTATCTCCCAGCTTTGGACGTCGCAAGCTCTAGTTTCCATTTTGAAAACACAAACTGTTTGGGGTCTACGGTGGTGTAATTTTTAAAGGCGCGCAGGTCCGCCGGCCACCTCATGATGGTGCAATTAGGGTCGCACTTTTCCCATGGTTCCCCTACAATTTCATACAAATTCCCCATCCCAAGTGGGAAGGTACATCGCATCTTAAGTGAACATACAGTGATTTGGCTCCGCCAAACGGAGTCATCACCACTCGACTGAGGAGCTCATGACCTCGAAATATACGGTGGATTTGGTGGATCGCCACGTGGCTGCGATTCGCAAGCTTTGCAAAGTCTGCTGCAATGGCTTTCTGCTGCAGCACCTGGAGCCCTTGGTGGACTTACTCTACCTGGCGGTCGACCGCTTTGCGCAGGGCCAGGATTTGTTGGCGCAGGCGCTCTGCGACTTCACACGGGTGGCCTCTCAGCCTTTTGTCAGCTGTAAGACCTCGGACATGATCACCTATGGTCATCATTTGCCTGCCTTCGTCAAAGGCATAGTCAGTGTTCTCAGCTACACCTCACCCCCGAGTGACAACCCACCAGCTGATCCAGAGGCCAAGGCCCAATGGGAGCACAAAAAGACCATGTCTGAACGGCTCCGTATCGAAGTTGCTCATACCCTGGCATGCTGGGCACGCTTCGGCTTGGATGAGGAGAGCGTGGAGCTCTTGCCCAACCAGCCCCTAATCCAAGCGGTGGCCGATTCTGGCACCCCGAACCTGCGGATCCTCCGCCAGTCCAACGTCATGGACGCGGTCTCGGCCTCCTTCCGCTCGGAGGATTCGCCGGAGTCCATTGTCATCACCTTGGGGGCCATCCGCGACATGTCGCTCTACCGCCCCTTGGCGTGTCAGATCACCAACTGCGGGTTGATCTCCAACCTGGTTCACGTGATCCGGGTGAACTTGCTGGGCTCCGACGTGCTGCTGGTGGCTGCAGAGGTGCTGTGGAATGTCTTGGAGTTAGACTGGGATGGCGCCACGGAAGCCTTGGGACAGGAAGAGGTCATTGAATCCTTCCGGGATTTCATGTATGCAGTGCTCACCAGGGGCTACAGATTCAAGGTGAGGGGCCATGTCGCAGAAAAACCGCTGTGAAAGGTCATGACATGGGTCAGGCAGACGGGGAATGTCTCAAACATAAAGGGGCCGCCCTGGACAAGGGATTAGCAAACATGTGTTAGTCTTTCAGCATTGCAGTCTTTATTTCATCCTATTTCTTTGTCCGGGGTCACTCCTGACGCTTGCTCCAAGCTTGCAGGACAAAATCTTTCGCAATGACATGATGGTTTTGCTCATGTATATCTCCAAGCGTGTCGAGAACCGCTCCTTGTTTGCCTCAACGGGTCTCATGTCGCTGCTGCTGAGCTATGCCGTGTCCGCGGCACGGCGGAAGGAGCTGCAAGCGAGTGGCATCTTAGAGGAACAGCAAGATGCAAAGCTCCTGCCAGACCTTGGGGATGATGGGCTCAAGAAGGGTGGCATCCCAATTGTTAACACCCAGGAAGACATGGAGTTCCGAACCTTGATTTGGGGGACCTTGGCTCGGTGCTGCTCTTCAGATGATTGCGCCAGACTAGCCGTGAAATGCGACCTGGTTCAGTCTTTGTTGGAGTGTCTCAATCCTGAGCCACCAGTGGAGCAGCAAAAATGGAGTCAGGAGCAACGGCGCAAGGTGCAGCTTGAAGCGCTCAGCGCCCTTTTCCAGTTGGTCCAATACATGCCAGATGCCTTCATGGATGCCGATGGCAACTCTACAGTGCTGCAGCTGTTGCAAGCTACTCGTAGCCGTGAGGTGCAGAAGAAGTCCCTGCATTTGCTGCAGGTGAGGGGTGGACACGAGGGTAAACGTATCCAAAAGACTTTGGCGAGCGATAATGCCTGATCCCGCCCTTCATTTCCGTGAATATGTTATGAACATTTTGTACAATTTGTTTTGTCGTTTGGGGCTGATGTTCAGTGATGACAGCGAGATCTGCTCCCAGGTGGCCGTTCGCATGGGTCAGGCCTTTGCCGAGAAGTTGGGCCAGCTGGGAGCCGTCGGGACACTGGTCGAGCTCTTCACTGACAAAGATAATCCGATGACCTCGCGGCAAATGTGTGCCTCTATCTTGGCCACCATGTGCAAGGAGCTGCCGTGTCCCTCATGGGGACATCGTGGGACCTGTGAGACATCATGGGACGTTGTACAAGAAGGTGAGTAGTGAGTATGCCGTATGGTTTCAGCATAACTCAACAACATTGGCGTATGGTTGTGCAGGTGAAAAATGGAGGGAAAGCAGCTGGTGTGTCCTGCACCACCAGCTTCTCATCATATCTTCTCATCATGGCCACCAGCTCATAGGTGTAGGACCCCAGATTTCCACCAGTTATTGTTTATTTCTCACCCTCTCGAGTATTCTGAACCTCTGACTCTAATACCCCAGATCCCCAGACCCCCTGCGTTCTTTTCTCAGTTGTGATCAACCCCCCCGCCCACATGTCTCCGTCTCGCCAACGCGCTCGCCCACGGCCACGCGAGCCGGACGCGACGTCTCGCCGGGACTCCTCCGGAGGAGTGCCCCGCCAACGCGCGGGAGTTCCGAAAGAAGGACGGAGTGGAGGCCATGCGCGACGAGGTGATCTATAGACCTGGCGATACCACGGACAATCACTTGTTCTATAGCCTTTGCGTGCCTTGCAAAAATGGAACCGATCGCATTTCTTGTGGCTGATGTAATTAATTAGTGATGTGAATGATGTCCTTGATTTTTGTTTTGGTTTCGCTGAATAGGAGCTTTTTCTCATCAAGTATTGAGGTTGCAGGCAGGAGAGGGTTGTTTTGGGTAGGATTTCTCTTTGCCCGTGATCAAGGGCAGATGCCCGGTGTTATGTGAACATAGAAGTCGAAAGAAACTCTGAGGAGTATGAATCTTGTGGGCCATAGGCATAAGCTATACAAGGCGGTCAGATCAGCTGTTCCTTCTCACAAGCATAAAGAACAGCTTGTCTTTGAAATAGTCTCTGCAGATTTTGTCTGGGAGATTGGGGTTTGGTTCCATCAGTATCCTTCTAAAGGACCTGTGGACAGCCTGTGGACCCGAGTCGGCTCGCACGGTTCTCCACACCGGTCGGTGCGTTCCCAGGTGGTGGATTGCATTTGGAACGCCGTGGTGGGCACCCGGAAGAACGAAATCCGCTTTCTGGATGCCGGCGGCTTGTTTGCGCTACTGGATTGCCTGGAGGTCGCGCCCATGATCTTAAAGCGCCAGATCATTGGGTGCCTAGCAGACCTCATGGACTCTCGGGCGGGAGAAGATGAATGTTTGAGGTTTTGGTTGTGTGGGGGTTCTTGTCCAAAGATTGGTTGCATTCTTGCTTTGGTGCCTTTTTCATTGGGCTTTTCAAATTCTTTGTTATTTTTTTTCCGCTAGGGGAATTGCAGCAATTGCATCCGTGAGGAATATAAAAAAGCTGCCAAACTCTTCACGCAGTGGAACTCTCAAGTCACCATGAAGGGAGCCTTGAGACTCCTCCTGGAGCTTTGGCAGAGCGAGCAGCAAGCGGCACGGAACCTGGCACCGGATGGGGTGATCCAAGATTTGGACCAACCTCTTAACCCACGCACAGCTGTGGACATGGAGGATGGGGATGGGAGCACCATCACCAGCACCAGCCATCTGGCGACAAAGTTCCGCCACGCGAAGAACTTTGCGGACACCTTAGGGGGGCAAAGTGTCCAGAGTAGCCCCAGTGCCAATCGCACCACCGTGACGAAGGGCTTTGAGAGAGCATCTGCAACTGCTCAAGAGCATCAGGGCTCGCGGTGGCTGAAGAATGATGGAGGTGAACAAGACAGCCGGGCCAAGATCTACTCCGTGTTGAAATGCATCGGTTTCGAGTGTCAAGAGACTCTGAGCATTGCAGAGAGGCAGCAGATGGAATTGGTGAAGTTGTATCCCATGGCCGTGGAGCTTGAAATGTGGATCAAGGTGCAGAGTTCTTGCCAGAAGTTAAAGATTAAAGGTAGATGTTCCCCACAAGGCTATCAAACTATCTCTTTTACCCTTTCCTCTTCCCCTTCTTCCTTAAGTCTTCTTTAAAGAACTGTCCAATTGAAATCCGTGGGCGCCCTGGCGTTCCCGTTGAAACCTGCAACCGGCTCGGTGGTGGACGGTACTGGTACGTTGGTTGCCCGCCTGCTTCCAGGTCCAGGAAAGCCTGGCCAGTCGCGGCATCAAGCCCGTGAGCGCCGATCGGCAGTGGATCACCGACTCGGTGAGCGAGCGAAAGGATCAAGCCGCCTGGGTGCAGAGTCTCCAGAGGCAGCTGGCCGCCGAGCGCCAGAGAGAGGAAGAGGCCGGGCGTTTTTGGGTGCGAAGAACGATGTGAAGAAGCACGGATTGAACAAAAACGGATCCGCTCGAACAGATCGTTGGGAGCTTGCAATGTTTTGCTTGGTTTGAAGAAGCTCTTGCAAAGCTTTGGACAGATTGAATCGGTTCAAACATGTCGTCTATTGGCATTTTTCTTTGCACATCGAAAGCTGAAAGATCTCCGGACCTTTGGAAGCTTTTTAGACTGTGCCTACCAGTAGCTATACCATGCACCTTTCACTCCTCAGCTCGGTGAGGCTGGTCTGGATCGTTTCTACAAGGATCTCCGGGGCCGGGCCCAGATCCAACGGGTGACGCCGCCCAACGGCTACCCCGACGATCCACTGGAGGGCCGCGGGGATGAGTGGAGCGACGAGTGGTCCGACGACCCCGACTCGCCGTAGGAAGCACCGGCCGTGGGAAGCCTTGGTGTCCGGCTGAAAATGTCACAGGTGAGTTCTGAAGAAAAACCAGGTGAGTTGAACATAGGCACGGCCCATGTTTGGTTTGATTCCCAGTTCTTTTTTGCTACGGGCTGGCTGGTACCAGGGCTTTGCTCGACGGCCAAGTTTCACTGAGTCTCACTACAAAGCGGTTTCACCACCCGAATGCGGCGAAAACCGATTCCAACATTCAGAACCTTTGGCTACAAGACAACCTTTGCATTGGTGTTTGGGTGTGTTGCAACGTACTTTTGTGCCGACGCGTGCCGATTTTCCTGTCACCGAGCCCAAAGCAGTGGTATTTTTCCACAGCTGCACAGGTATAGCTTGCGGCGGCTGCCTCCATATGTGATTTGCGTGGTGAAGCGCTTTAGTCCTTTACTTGGATGCGATTTTTGCCAGACTGTCACCCCAAAGCACCATACTCTCGGAAGACTTCTTTGCGGATGATAGACCACTTCCTTATTTAGCTGGTTTTGCCAAGGAAACAACAACTTCTTCGTCGAGAAGAACCCTACCATCGTCACCTTTCCATTGAAAGGCCGGCTTCGGGATGATGCTTCGTGCAAGGAGAGCATAGATATGATTACTGTAGATATGCCAAAATTGTGACTGCCTACAAGCCACTGAATAGTAGAAAAGACACTGCATGTGACATCACACATGTGATATATAATCACCTCTAGAAAAGGCGCTCGTCCGACACCCAAGAATTGTTGACCCTTGTGGCTTGTGGGGCCTCAAAATTAGCAATCCTTCCAGTTTGCAAATTTGTACCCGCAAGTAGTAGGCAGATTTTGGAGATTGGAGTTTCTGCCACACATGTGACTACGTGAAGACCAGTAAGTAGGCGGAGCTTTCCCGGGCAAAAAAACATACACCCTGCAAATCACTTTCCAATGCTCTGCGTGTGATCCCCTTTTCGGCCCGTATGCTGAAACCACATGAGGGATTGTCCATGTTTTCTTTGGGACAATATGACATGGGAGACCTCACGCAATGGTTCTTTCAGCAAGAATCCCATGTACCAAACATCGATCTTCACCATTTACGGAGCTCAGCCCAAGCCGAGACCCTTTCGGAGGCGGTGCTTTCTTTGGTTTTCTCGTTGTCTGCCACCTCGGCCCCTCCCGGCCACTTGAAGTGACGCAGGCCTGGACCTCCGTGATTACATCCATCCAGATTGCCAGCCGGCCAACCCCGAGACCAAGTACGTCCACCTGGCGCCTTTTGACCGACTGGTCGTTGTCTGATTTTGGAAGGAACAGCGAATGCATGGTTTCGACGAGAAGTGATAAAACAAATATAGGATTGATTAATGGCGGCTGGTGGACCAGGGCTTTGGTAGAGAGCTTGCGACATCAAGCACCAGTGAGAGATGTTTTAAAGATATATAGGTGATTCTTCCCAAAACCGCCATGTTTGTGTGGAATACGCGCTGAACACTCAGAGCAGGAGGATCGGGACTTAGGATTTGGTGTATTTGATGTTCGAGCTGAAATTTTTGACGCGACCAATTCGCTGGAACGGTTGGCCAGGATTTGGTGGCAAATGTTTGCCATGATGGAAAGCCGGAGAGAGGAACTTACAAAGTGCAGGCACGGCTACCATTATTCCGGTAGTTTGCGTTGGCTATGCATCCTGGCACTTGTGATGGATTCTTTTGCACTGGCAGGTCTTTCATCAGCCAACCTCGCAGTGGTTTGAGATTCATGACTTGCGAGCCAGTGCCCCAGGCTTGACACGGCGAGAGTTCTTATGAACCAAGTTTGCAGGTCAAACTTCTCTCTGTCTCTCTCTCTCTCTATCTTTTTCTCTTGGTGATTTTGCTCAATCCTCGCTCTCTCTCTCTCTCTCTCAAAGCCTCTTGGAGGGTTGGACAGGAGGCCAACGTTTGCATTTCCTTTGTTGTGAGGAGGAACACGTTCCTTTTGCTTGCTTCATGTTTCTTCATTCATGGCGCTGCATCAATTCACGCTACGAATGCTCCACATTTCAAGATTCATGAGCAGAATATCACCCTTAAGATGATGTGACCACGCTGGCATTCTTCACGGAGGTCCTTTGATCTCTCTATGGTCGTTTTCAAGGGGTCTCCCATCCGTTTTCCCACCGTCTTCTCACCACGGGCGCTGCACACCACGGGCGATGCCTAGCGATCGAGGTCACGCCGGTGCTGCCGCAGATGGTGGCGCTCACGGAGAGTTACATCCAGGTGTATCAGCGGCAGGATCGGTCCGCCGGGGGGGTCGTTGTCGTAGGTGTTGGAAGGGCTGGCAGGTTGTCGTTCTCGTTTTGGACAAGAGTACAAGGACACTTTGCCCGCTCTTGATGGAACAGAATGAGTTTGAAGCCTGATTGCATCAAGCGAGATGAGTGTGTTGTTTTGAGCTGTCTATATAAATGTATTTAGTTACATATGTATATATATATATACTTACTTTGTCATCTTACTCCGTCGGCCTCCAACAAATTACGGCGAAACATCTGGTAGTGTAGGGAAAACACCGCTGAACCATGCTGAGCTGCTGAGGTGTTGGACTCCCCCAGTTCCTGGACGCCCCGAGGGTCTCGTCCCACGCCGCGGGCGCGCCCGACCGCTCCTTCGCGCGCCGCAGGACGTGAAGCCTGATGGCTCCTTCGGGAAGTTCGACGCGGAGATCCCAGAGCTCTTGGCGGAGGCAGACCAACGGTCCCAAGATGTGTCAAGTCAGGACAAAGGATGACAATGTCAAAAGGGATCAAAAGGGCAAAAGACCATGATGATCCCCAACAAGCCTCCCACAAGAACCGCAAGTTTCAATCATTGCTTCTTCACGAAAGGAGCCAATCTGAGTGGATTTCTCCTCTCACACTCGTTCGTGATGCCTCAGGCGGACCCTGGCGTGGCCGCCGAAATCGAGATGGCGCCCGAGGCCCGGCTTTGGATGAAGAAAGAACTGGGTTGTTAGCGGGAGTTTATGCAGTGTGAGTCCAAACAGCAGTTACGGGGATGTTATATACTGTATAATAACTTATAACTGTATATTTGGTTTTGGACGGGCTTGGAGCCCATAGCCCAGATGGATAACAGCTGTGTTGGGTTTTTGGGGTCCTTAAGGGTCTTGTAGAGAGGCCAAAGCACTTTGGAGTGCCCAAAGTGTCAAACAGCTAGCAGACTTCAAGCAATCAATTGAATCCTGGCTCCTGAATTCTCTGGGTATCTCTGTTTGTCATGATTGAAGATAGCTTGGCTTGCATTCCGCCTGCATTGGCCAGGACTTGGCGGAAGCCGGTATCATTATCGGTTGAGCGGATGCACGGGAGTTTTCCAAGCTGCCTTTTTTTTGGGCCTCCGCTTTGGTTCAGAGATTTGGCTAAACAATTGTCAGGTCAATGAGTATTGTCTCTATGTTTTTATGCATTTTGTATCCATGTAATGAGATGTCTAAACCTTGTGGACATAGGGATCTCAGCAACCCCTCGGACTCCAGCTCATCCACTCCTATCCATCCAGCCCATGTCGAGGAAGGTGGATGAAGCACCAATGTGCAAATTTTAGGTCCACGGAATGCATTTGGAGATGTATCTATGTCCAACACGGATACCCAGATGCCAGCTTGGAGGAAGGAGGGGCAAAGCGCCGCTCTCCCCGAAGTCGCGTCTCTCCCTATGACATGCTCCACCGCGTGCGGCTGGAAAAAGAGAGTGACACCGTTAGCGGATGCAACGCCATTTGCACGGTTGTCCGCTTCAAAGAGAGTTTTATGATCGGAGACTCCCGCGAGACTCGCGAGACACCCGGCCATTAGCTTTCTCCCTATGAAACACGTTGCATGTTTTGCTTATTGCAGCTCTTGGGAAGCACCGTCTCCCAGTGGGCAGGCTGCGTCAGAGATGATGAGGCAGGTCTTGAACCTGTCGAGTGTTTTCTCTGTTACGCGCGTTTTAAACATCCTTCCTCAAACTCGGAGAGCAACTCCCGTGCTCCTAGCTGTTCCTGGCACGGTCCGTCGTTGCTCTGACGACCCTAAGAGCCTCGCTGATGTCACCGACCGAGATGCCAGCAGCATGACCCCTGCCGCGTTGCCGCTCATGTCAATGACTCGAGCTGGCACTCTGAGCTGTGGAACCCGAACCCCTCAGCAAGCAACCGTCATGTTTGACGTCAAATCCAGACCAAGTCCAACACCTTTGCCGCCGGGAACGCAGATTCTAGGTGTGGTCCAACGTGGCTCTCATCACTCATCCGTGGGAGGTATTCTTGGCTTGGAAACTGGAGGCAGCTGCGTGGCGGATCGTTGGGCTGTTCGCCACGTGTTCTTGTTTGTTTACGTGTTGGATCTTGTTGGGCTGTTCGCCTGGCTGTGGCTGTCCGGAGTGCTGTTCCGTTGCCGCACCCTCCGACACCTCTTGCGGACCAGCGGCGCCGTTAGCCTTTCGTTGGCCGCAGTGATGCTTGAGATTTACTCGTATGTTTCTTTGTTGGTATATGGCCCTTTGTATATATATATATATTGCCATATATTGCCTATGTTTGTCGAACGTGGGTCTGCCATGGTTTGTAGTGGTGGACGGTAGTATAGTATAGGTTTCCTGCACTCTTTTCTTGAACAGAGTGCAACGCATCCCGTGGTCATATCGAAGACTTCAACCACATCAATAGGCATTTTGCACCATAGCGGTCCCGATGCTTTGGCGTCTTTTCAAGCTCTCCACAGAGCTTGTGAGCTTGTAAGCGTTCATTTCACTCCTGCAGCCCACACACCTTTGCAATGTTTGCTTGGACGCGCAAAAGACCATATCTCATCACAAAAGCCAAGGATTGGTCATAGACATAGATGTCACCCGGTGTATTCTAGACACAACTCTACCCTGGTCCGCTCTGGTCGGGAGTGATTTCCACTTGTACGCTCCTTCTCTGGCAGTGGACGTGTCTACTTAAAGTAAGGGCGGGCCCCGGCCGAGCTGCGGCTTGCAGGCTCGGTGCGGGCGTGGACGTGTGGAAGAAATGAAGACAGATTGATCCTGGTGGAGCGACTGGCAATCACCCTCATGGCATCCCCTGGCGCCCTTGGGGCGGTCACTGCATGCGTTGCGAAGGAGTGCCAACCCATCATCGCTTTTGTATGCTTTTTCTTTATGTGCAAGGGCCTCACTGACTCATTGCTTTTTCGCTCGGTGGAACCTAGAAGCAGGCAGGAGGTCCCTTGCCTTTGTCAACTGTTACTTGGATTCTGTGGTGGTCCGCTGCGCCGCCCGGCATCCCTTTGCTCGCTTCTCTTTTGGCAGCTTAGTGACTTTCGCAACTAACAGTCAGTCAACATCTATTGGGGTGGTACCTGCCACCAGCACAGCAAAATAAGGGAAACCACACACTGGGAAGAGTCCAGGATCAGAGAGCATGGGCACCAGAACACACATATCGGTGCGGCTTCCCAGTATTCGCTCCGGATCACGACCTGAGGCCGGCCACATTTCCAGACCTCGTTGCAGCTCTGCCCCGTTCCAGATCACTATCACTGTTGTTCGAGGCCCAGGCACTAGCTAGGCCGGGCGGGCGAAAGGAACGCTCTCACCCGGTCAACACGTTGTCGCCTCGTTGTCCTCCAGACAGGAGGGCTATGGAGCAACAAAGCCATCCCACAGTGCCTTGGACTACCCACTGCCTGCACCGCATTGCGGTGCAGCAGCCGAAACTTCGTGTCGCATCCAATTGTGAAGGGAACTGACAATTTCCCATCGCGGCATAAACACATCCGCAGAGTGTCTAGTTTAACCTCACAGATGTGACGGGTGTGAAGGGCGTGGATGCGGGATCAAGGCGGAACAAAAACACTGTTTTTGCAGTGTCCAGTCAAGATGACTGCCTTTGATTTATTGACGCTGACTCAAGACGGCTACTGTCATAGATTGCACGGCTTTGTAGGCCGCCTCGCTGTGTTTGTGATGAGTGCATGTTGGCCAGAATCCCTGACAACCACACAATTTGGCATAACTATCACCGACTCTGGGCGCTGTTTGTCTGAGGGAAAGACGTGCCCGCGGCGGACGATAGTCTATACCCTGAAGCCTGAAGTTGGTCACAATTCCTGCGCGTGAACAGTGTTTCTTCATGTTGAACTTATGCCCTGCACCCTGAAATGCCACGGACACAGTGTGTCCGAGATTCCGAGCGTTCTTTTGGGTGATCTTGGAACTTTCACGCAAAAGCCTGAAGTGCCACAAGGTCACCTATTCTTGTGTGTGCGGCGCAGGCATGTTAAAAACTTGCAATGGGAGCGCTTGGTTCTTGGCCTTTCTCTTGCCATGTCGCGCGAAGTCTTTCACGGTCGGTGTGTCTTGCAGAGTGGGGTGTTCCAGTGTAGTAAAGTGCGAGCGCGGTTCATCTTCAGCATGTACATATAGATCGCAATGGCAAAGGCACGACCACGCATGTGTAAAACTGTAAAACCAATGCGCGTGCATACTTCTCAATTTTTTCACCCAAACAGTTTACTGTTGGGGTTCTATCTAGGAAAAAAAGGAGCTGGCCACACTGACTGGCCCTGTGGCCGGGCTCTGTGGCCGGGTTGTCCTCCTTTGTCCTTCTCCT